GTGACACGGCTCAAATTTTGCATTTGTCCACTTCCTCAGCGTGGTCCTGCTCAGCTTCTCATCCAGAACATCCCACTGCGGATCTGGTTGTAGTCGGGCAGCTGTTCGATTGGACCTGAGAACAAACAAACTTATTGCTTATCTGCTTTAACATCAGGTAGAAACACGAGTTTGAACACAGACTGAGTTCCAGAGACGCTCTGATCTTTGACTGACTGCATCGTCACACTTGAAGCTACGCTCGCTTCCTGTTTTGGCTCAAGATTTAAACCCAGAGTTGAGATAAACCATTCTTTTCTTTACAGGAGACAGAAAACTGATTAAAATTGTAAATCAGGGCTAAAAGCTAAAACAGTCTGCATAGTTCAGCCGTCACAGTGACGATCACTTGCATCAACAGCAGAGTTTAAACTGGGATTCAGTCCCCACACTGAGCCGCCGGCTTCCTTTCATCGTACACTCTGAGTTTCGTTAAGTTCAGCCTCTGCAGGCGTCCCGTGTTTGAAAACGTACCGACAGCTGCAATGGCAGGAGCTCTGTTGTAGATGTATTTGGTGCACACGTCCTTTATGGTGTTGGCGTCGATGGCCTGTGGAGAGCCAGAGACAAACATGGTGGAGGATCAGGGCAAAAAGAGCTTTTCAAACGTTATTTCAGGTCATGCTTAAAGAACACCGGCTGGTTACCAGATTTACTTTGAGGTTTTCTCAGCCTCACAGTTTATCACTGTGACTCTGTTATTGTTCTCGTCTTACTGCTTTAAATGTAAAGAAACCTGGCCTTATGAAAAATATACTCTTATGATGTATTAACTTTAAATATGGAAGCAGCGATAAGCACACGTGACGAGGGCTAGAAAGCTCAACGTTCCTGTTCACTTCCTCCTCTGGTTGCAGTTTTTCTACGTTCAACAGTCACAAAGGTGGAATTCAGCTGCGACGTTCTGCGACGCGCTAAGGACGCATCAACGTGGAGGTGTTGGAGACACAACACAGTCTCACCACTGTAATCTGTCTAAACAGGTTACCATGGTTACCAGTAGGGATGCACCGATACTGGTATCGGGT